CATCTCTTCTAACTGCCACTCTTCTGTTCTAGCGCCTTCGCTGACTTGCTGGGGGGCTCTGGTGGTCCTCGCTTGCTGACACTCACCACCGGCTCCTCCAACCCCCACGCCTCCTCGGTAGAGCGTCCTCCGGGGCCAGTTCATGGTTGGGTGTTGAGGAAGTGGGGTGCAGGGGGGTGACACAGCCTGGCCCAGTGAGCCCAGGCTCCCAAGCTGCTCTAGTGAGGGGGCGCCCAGACTGCCACCCTGATGAAATTGGGGAAGTTCAGAATCAGAAAGGTGACTAGCAGCCAGCCATGAATGGGCCCCACTTCCTAGCACCCACCAGGCGCCTGTGGCAAATATGCAGACCCGTTTGCCCAGGGTGCCCACACCAAGGACCCAGGACACTGTCTTGACTCGGCATCTCCCCACAGGATCACCCCAGAGCTGAGTACGAAGCCAGGGTTCTGGAGAAGTCCATTAGGAAAGAAGCCAGGAACAAAGAGGTAAGCTGGCCCCTGCCCATTGCTTCCTGCAGCTATCCGCTCGGCCGGTCCATGCACCTCACAGGGGGCAGCCCACTGGGGCCAGGTCAGTGATGCCCTAGGCTCTGTAAACTCCTGTCACCACGATCCACAAGGCCCAGCCGGGCTGGGGTCCAATCAAAATGTATCCGAACCAGGCATCGGAGTTGAAGCTGGCCATGCAACAGTAGTTCATCAAACTCCGGGAGGGACTTGGGATCCATGACCTTCTTTAGCTGCTCATCCAAAGGTGGGAGGTTTTGGCACCCACCCAAAGGTACCTTGGAAGAAAGGCCTGGCTAGTTGCTTCCCCAAAATCGGCCCAGGAAATCCCTCTGGGTGGGTGTAACTAGTTGGCACCCACTGATGCGTCTTCTTGGTGTGACCTGCGAGGGGGCGGCAATTCAGCCAGCTTCTTCCCAGTGGCGGCAAGAATCTCAGCGTTCGGAACCAGGCTTGGTCCAGCTGGTGTTGCTGATGCCTGCCCCTTGCAGGAAGTGTTGAAGGATGAGACAGGAGGGTTTGCCACACAGGAATCCCTAGGCCAGTGCCCAGCTCCT